TAAAACAGACATCTACCAGATAATATTACTTCAGACCAAATCAAAATAATGATGTTAACAATGTGACAAAATAATGAGTAAATTGTAAAAACACCAATTTTTTACATTTTCAATGTGACGAAATAATGAGTAAAATGAAAGATCTCACTATTAAAATTAAAAAATATGTATTTTATATCAAGTTGAATGAGAAATATTAGAAAAATATTATTTGGAATGCTCAATAAAGTAATCTAGAAGTTCATATGAAATAATGAGTAAAATGTAAAAAAAAAAACTCCATTTGTTTACATTTTCAATGTGACGAAATAATGAGTAAAATGTAAGATCTTACTATTAAATGTTAAAATTATGTATATTCCATATTTCATACCAAGCTGAATGAGGAATATGAAAAAAAATGAGGTGCATAATAAAGTAATTTAGAGGATGTGCGATTAATTAAGAAGCTTCTTTGTGAATTCTTTAAAATTGGATTCACAACATTATGTTTAGTTGAGATACTTATGTGGAAGAACATTTTAAATATTTTTCATATAAATGTTTTTTATTTTATAAAATGGATTTTTTTTCATGATTTAGGAGATTCCGCCATTCAGTCCATTCAACTAGAATTTAATTAATTTTAGTAAAATAAGCCGATTCCACCAATTTTAGTATTATCAAACGAACTCTATATTTAGACTGAGTTTATTTTATTTTGCATCGCATTATATATGATTCTGAAAAAAATCAAATTCAAAAATTAGCTAAATTATGTAGTGCTCGTGCATCGCATGATCTTGAAACCTAGTAAAATCTATCATAAATGCAAACAATGATGATACGAATGAATTAATTATTCATATACTTTTTCAATTACATTATTTATAAATAATGTAATGCATGTCCTACAACTGTAGATGTTCCTCATTTACTACCCCATCCTGTGTGAGGGATTAAAGGAATGTCATTGATAAATGAAAATTTTAATGGAAAGCTATGCCTATAAGAAAACTTTTATGAACCGCATTTTGTGTGTCTTGAATTGAACAGAGAAAGATATTATATGAGGATATAGAATGGAAATTCAGAAGAATGTTATTTGAAAAACATTAAGAAAAACATTACGTAGTATATTGAAAGGGAAGAAATAAAGCAGGAAGGAGCATCTAAGGGGGTGTTTGGATCTAATTCTTAAAACTGCTTCTGCTCATTCAGAGAGCAGAAGCAGAAGTTGGAGTGTTTGGGTGAAAGTGCAGAAGTGATTCTGGTGCTCTAATTTACTCCTAGAATCAGTTTTTTTAGAAGCTGGAGGAGACCAACTTCTCAAAACTGATTCTGATTCTGCTTCTACTTTAAAAATGAAGCAGAATCAGAATCAGTTCCAAACACCCCCTAAACTAAGGTGTAGTTAAGACATTAAGGGCCCGTTTGATAACATTGAAATCGGGTGAATCAGCTGATTCTGTTAAAATTTATGAAGTTCTGGCTGAAGTGACTGTATTGGCTGATTCTGCTGATTTATGAAAAAGTTATACTCCGTATTTAAAATGTATTTTATTAATAAAATAAAGAAAAAATTATATGAATAAATAGTTACTCCAAATTTTGGTTGTACATCCACAGTGACTTTAGTCAATACACCCAGAAAAGTGACTCCAACATTACATTTTCTTATTATTACACAATCCAACGCGCGAAATCAAATGTTACGGGTTTGATTAAAAAGTTGGCTGATAAGCCCGATAAGCCGAAAAACAGAGTCACCAAACACACTCTAATTTGAAATAATAATTGAACACATTTATCATTCACAAATCTGTAATTTGAAATAATAATTGAACACATTTATCATTCACAAATCTGAAAAAGTATTTGTCCCGGCCACCAGCTAGGTAGGGATAAAAGTTGATACCATTTGGCTAAATGTTGCCATGCGCATCAAACAAAACCTTGGCCCCATTCTGCATGTACTGGCTGGAATCTCTGAGGCCTACATATAGTCCATATATTACCCTGCAAAATTCAAACTCATCTTCATTGCAGGGTAACTTCAAATCTTTTTGCATTTGTTTCCTTAGTTTATTCAAATTATGCACTTCGGCCCACGCATTGGCAAAAATTGCCACTTTACTAGATAAGCATTGGTTCAAGATCGGACCATATTGGACTAAACCAAACTTGAATATGATTAGACCGGACCAATGTTGGACTGAACTTGAAATTTCAATTATAAAAAATTACTCCGTACTGTTTACACAAACTTAACTTTGATGGCTATTGTTTAAAAAACACAAAATTGTTTTGAATAAATATTCAAATAAATCTATTTCGATTCTTAATATTTGTTACTTTACAGTTTACACTTGTGTATATTTTTTGGGTGATGTTATTTTATTTGTGATAGCTCTAAAAGTTGACAACTCCGGTACCCTTCTAAAAAATGGGATACCGTACCTACCATTCATTTGATTGTACCACATTACTTTATGATTTTTAATTTAGATTTAAATAATTCAACTGCTACATTCTCATTGGTCCATGTGGACAAATGTATAGTACCTAATGGGTACCATAGAATTCACCGCTCTAAAAATGATATAATCAATCAATAAAAATGCCATTGTACATTAAAACCTCATTTGGAGCTCGTTTGGTAATATTAATATGGGCCGTATCCACAAATACTGGTGAAATTCTAGTTGCTGAAGTAAAGGAATTGGCTAAATTTGTTGGATTAAGACAAGAAATATTTACAATATAACTTCTTAGTAAAATAAACAAAAACTTACATTGAAATTGCTAAAATATCCTTATTCAATAAATTAAACCAAACTAACTTCAATCTTAGTTATTCTTACTATTACACAGTTCAGTGTATTGTGTGCGATATGAAAATATACATGTTCGATAAAAACCGATTGATAAGGCTGTTAAGTCAAAAGCAAAAGGATAAATTGATGAGAATAATCTCACCTTTCACTAATCTTCTCATAATAATTTCACCTTTACATAATCCCAGAATAATCCAACCTTTGCACCTCATCTTCTTTCATTGGATCCTTTTTTTGAAAATCTTATACTATCCTCTGTCTCTTTTTAATCGCAACATGTTGAGTTTTACACTATTCACATGTTCTACTTTGACTACATTTTATAATATTATTTTATGAAAATTATTTTTTTAAAAAAATATTGTTCAATTCATCTCATTACAAATTTTCAAAATCTAATTTTTAAATATTTTTTTACTAATAGAGATTAAGATATAATTACGGTCAAAGACGTGCATTGGTAAGTGTGAAATGTTGACCGTTACAACTAAAAAAGAACGGAGGGAGTATAAATAATCTCATCTTTGTAGGTCATCAATAGCTTAGGGTCCAATGAAAGAAGATGAGGTGCAAAGGTGAGATTATTCTTGAATTACGTAAATGTGGGATTATTATAAGAAGACCAATGAAAGGTGAGATTATTCTTGTCAATTTTTTCAAAGCAAAATTTACCAAGTGGGTTTTTGAAGTCGTGTAAGTTTCTAAGACTTAGATGCTCAAAAAGAGAACCATCACTTCCAGCCTAGCTGGTTGTGAGGTTATCCTTGCATAGAAGAGGTCTCGTGTTCGAGTCCCACTAGCACCAGTGGAACTATGCTCCCCCAAAAAACCCTTCAAGTGGTAGGGCCAACCGGTGTATACTAACCCGTAGGGCCAAGCCAAAGTTGGGTTTCTGGGGTAAGGGGCCGTGAAAAGCAGTGGAGCTAGTCACTATAAAAAGTTTACCCATACCTTAGTTTTTAACCATCACTTCCAGTCTAGCTGGTTGTGAGGTTATCCTTGCATAGGAGAGGTCTCGTGTTCGAGTCCCACTAGCACCAGTGGAACTATGCTCCCCCCCAAAACCCTTCAAGTGGTAGGGCCAAGCGGTGTATACTAACCCGTAGGGCCAAGCCAAAGTTGGGTTTCTGGGGTAAGGGGCCGTGAAAAGCGGTGGAGCTAGTCACTATAAAAAGTTTACCCATACCTTAGTTTTTAACCATCACTTCCAGCCTAGCTGGTTGTGAGGTTATCCTTGCATAGGAGAGGTCTCGTGTTCGAGTCCCACTAGCACCAGTGGAACTATGCTCCCCCAAAAAACCCTTCAAGTGGTAGGGCCAAGCGGTGTATACTAACCCGTAGGGCCAAGCCAAAGTTGGGTTTCTGGGGTAAGGGGCCGTGAAAAGCGGTGGAGCTAGTCACTATAAAAAGTTTACCCATACCTTAGTTTTTAACCATCACTTCCAGCCTAGCTGGTTGTGAGGTTATCCTTGCATAGGAGAGGTCTCGTGTTCGAGTCCCACTAGCACCAGTGGAACTATGCTCCCCCCAAAAACCCTTCAAGTGGTAGGGCCAAGCGGTGTATACTAACCCGTAGGGCCAAGCCAAAGTTGGGTTTCAGGGGTAAGGGGCCGTGAAAGCGGTGGAGCTAGTCACTATAAAAAGTCTACCCATACCTTAGTTTTTAACCATCACTTCCAGCCTAGCTGGTTGTGAGGTTATCCTTGCATAGGAGAGGTCTCGTGTCCGAGTCCCACTAGCACCAGTGGAACTATGCTCCCCCCAAAAACCCTTCAAGTGGTAGGGCCAAGCGGTGTATACTAACCCGTAGGGCCAAGCCAAAGTTGGGTTTCTGGGGTAAGGGGCCGTGAAAGCGGTGGAGCTAGTCACTATAAAAAGTTTACCCATACCTTAGTTTTTACCGGTGGGCGTAGCTCAACTGGTAGCGAGGGAGTGCCACAAGGGTTAGGTCTCGGGTTCGAATCCCGGCAACTGCGATGAGGGGTTACTATGCTGAAAAATGCATAGGACTTCTGCAAGTACCGGGGATAGAGTCACACTCTCTATCTGACAGATTGTGATTATAGTCCAATTTACATCCTCTCATCGTGCCGTCCGGTCGGTGTTGTGGGGCCCTCAGGGATGGGGTGTCATCCTTTTTTTTTATGAAGTGTAAAAGAGTATTTAGAAAAGGACTGAGCTAAAAGGTAACCCCCTGGCCTGCCTCTCACTTATATAAACAAGGGCTTCATAAATTAGCTTCCTATCCTTTTCTCAAACACAAAAAAAAAATGGCTCCTTCTCTTCGTTCCTTCGCAGCTATCTTCCTCTTTGTGATGCTTTTCATGGCCACCGGTTTGCCTTCCTAGCTTTTTGTCATCACTCTTATTTTCCATTCAATTAATTACTACGGAGTAAAATAAATTGGACCTTTTTGAACTTTTTTTAATTTTCTTGCACGAACTAGCTAGCTAGTGGTTTTCAATGCACCGTAGTATCTTTATTACATTATCACATTCAATTTCGTGTGTTCCAAAATGAATTCAACTTTTTATTTATAAAAATTTTTTATGCTTCATATTGTTTCTTTTTCCTCTGTTGGAATTTTTCTTCAATCATAATAAGAGCTTTACTTTCTTAGTTTACAAGAAAAGGCAAATTAAAATACAAACTAAAAACGGACCGAAATGAGGGATCTACCCGTTAATCAAACAACAAAGCATTGAAAATTTTCCAAAAAATTAATAATGCATGTACCTTGCTATGAGAAATAATACATTCCTATTGAAAGAAATAGTGTGTTAAGGTTACTCCGTATGATTTACTCATTTGAAGAATTATCTCAACTTTAATTTCATACATGGTATCTACTATCACCATATTGTTTCATCTTCATTTTATGCTATAAAAACTTTATTTCACTTCTTTGTTCTGACTTTTATATGGTTTCAATTTCCATTTTAATCATGTAAATTTTATATATTCTAACAACCTTTAATTTGGCCATTTATTTATAACAAAATTATATTTTAATTTTTTATTATTACAACATTCAACGTGAAATCAAAAGTTATGTTTCTTTAAATAGTTGGCTAATAAGCTAAACGGGGGATTGCTAAAAGAGCTTTTAAATTTAAAGTAATGATGACCGAATGGTAGATCTAGTAAAAATAATCCATAGTGAAAAAATAATACGGAGTAATATATGGTTTATTAATTAATTGAATAATGATTGAGTTTTTTCAATAATATTACTCAAATGCATCTTATTTACAAAAATATGACTAATAGTTACCATATTATAATATCATGCTAAGTAGTAATTTAAGTATAAAAGTTGAACTTAATTTAATGTATGATTACGTTACAATGATAGTCATTATATTTAGGAGACCATATTTTTATAAAAACATTTATTTTAGTCATACATATAAATTATTTGTTAGTAATTGGGCTTGCAATTAATTATGTACTTAATTAATGGATGCAGAAATGGGAGGCGGCGGAATGGTGGCGGAAGGCAGGATGTGTGAGACCGGAAGCGGCAGGTTCAAGGGGGCATGTATGCGTGACAGCAACTGTAGGACGGTGTGCCAGGGAGAGGGCTTTACCGACGGCGACTGCCAAGGATTGCGCCGCCGCTGCCGCTGTAAAAAGCCTTGCTAGATACTATTAATATGGTTCCATTGTCTTTTAATTTACTTCGTATGTACCACTCCTTTTGCTTGGTACCAAGTTAAGCTGGACATACGATGGGTAAATAAAGGATGCAAAATCCCGGCCAGCATTTTAATTTCCTGAATAAATTAAATAAATAAATAAATAAATAAAGATTGTACTCCGTATAAATTAGACCAAACATGGAGTGTGCGGTTACCTAATTAAGCTTTTGTTAGGCTGGCTCCATCTCATGGTGTTTGGTTTGTTGTACGTCGTCGTCTTGATAAACTAGACCAAAATGTATTCCTTGTTCTGTTATGTTTCACTTTATTATTATGTCATCAAAAGTTTATCTTCATATTCTGTTTTTTACTCTGGTTTGTTTGGTAAAATTCTTTTAAAAATGTACTATCTCTTGTCTAATTATATGTATCTTATCGGCTTATAAGACGAGATTGAAAGTTTTAAAAATGGGGTGATAACTCCGGTACCCTTTTAAAAAATGGGGTACCGTACCTATCATTCATTTGATTAGACCACATCACTTTATCATTTTTAATTTAAATTTAAATAATTCAACTGCAACATTTCCATTAGTCCATGTGGACAAAGGTATGATACCAGTACCATAGAATCTACCTATCTTTTGAAAAAAAATGACATTGAATCTTACTAACGGAGTTTTTTCAGTCAAAATCTGACTAATTATGTTTTTTGGACAAAACTATGACTACACACTATGTATGAGTAATAGAACAAAAGTCATTGTTATGTATTTAAGAGTAACAAATCACTCCTAGATGGTGAGCCATTGAATAAGAATATGTCAATTTTTTGGAAATTTGAAATAAGTCAAATTTTTTTGGTATTTAAATTTAATTTGGTAATATTTATGGAAAAAGGTCTCATCTCTAATGTTGTGTCAAGTGTTAAGATTTAAACATGATTGAAATCATGTACTCCGTATTTGAAAATTAAAATTTTAGTCAATGCACTTATAAAAGTAACGTACATCTTATTTTTTCTTAAGCTAAAGGATCAAATAGGCTCTTGAACTAACTTAAAGTGTTCAATTAGCCCTTATATAGGAGGTTCAGCCTGACCATCGCCAATTGGGAAGGTTCCCGGTAGAATTTTTTGATGAAATTGTTTGAGCACCTTCTTCATTTAGTCTAGTTTACTCGTATCAAATTTCAGGTAAAAATTAAATCGGGAAGGTAGTCAAATGATTTTCCGAAATGTACTGCGCTGTTTAACTGCGCAGTTATCTTCAAAAAATCATTTGACTGCCTTCTCGGTTGAATTTTTAGCGGAAATTTGATATGAGTAAACTAGACTTAATGAAGAAAATGCTCAAAAAATTTCATCAAAAAATTCCACCAGAAACCGCCCCAATTGACGACGACCAGGCAGAACCTCCTATATAAGGGGCTAATTGAACATTTTAAGTTGGTTCAAGGAACTATTTGACTCTTTAGCCTTTTTCTTATTACTTATTACACAATTTAGCGTGCGAAATTAAAAATTATTATTTAAAAAATAGCTGATAAGTAAAAAAATACTCCCTCCGTTCCAAAAACAATTTCCCACTTTCCTTAAATGGATGTCCCTAAATTAACTTCACACTTCAATACTTTACTTATTTGACAAATTATCTACATCAAAACAGTGTCAAACAGTGTTCAAACAGTGTCAAACAGTGTTTGAACAGTGCACCCAACAGTAAAGTCAAATTTATTTTCTTAATCTGTGTGATTGTCAAACTGTGAAGTTGTTTTTGGGACGAAGGGAGTAAGATATATAGTTAAAAACCACATTAAATTAAAATAAGCAAGTTAAAATTACCAAACTGAAGTTCAGTTTGAGTGACGTCTGAGACACTACTGCAGTACGTACCAAGTGAATTTGTTCAGGCTTGTTTTCGCACATTTTTTGCTTTACTTTTATTTTCTGTGAATTTTAGTACTCCGTATTACGGAGTACTAGTATTTGTTAATGACCATAATATTTTGACAACATCAATAGCTCGTATAGCATTAATCATTAGATATTTGTACTAAAATTTTAAATAAAATAAGAATATAGTGTTACTTAGTCTCTAAAAAGTTTGTATACATATAACTTTTTTTTGTCGGAATCTTAAAATAAGTTTAATAGTAATGATTATTGATCAAGTGATGCTTTTAGGATAAAATGACAAAAATAAGTTGGAACTAGGGGTGTAAATGGGTCAAGTCGCTCGCGAGCTGCTTGTGGATCGCTCGGCGAAAGCTCGACTACTCGAGTTCGGTCATATTAAGCTCGACTCGAATAGTTAACAAGCTCAATTAAAGTCTATTCATTTTAGGTTCGTGGCTCGCGAGCCGGTTCGCGAGCCTTTGTGTCATATTTTATATATAATAAATATATATGTAATAATTATATATATATATATACTTTATTTGAAATATGTATTCTAATTTAGGATTATTCCATTCTCAATATTTATCACAGAGTATATTATAATGGTAGTAATTACAAAAATAATAACATGTGCGTAGAATTATTATTATAACCAAAATCTGTAATAATTATAATATGTACTCTTAATATTTATTGACAGTAAAATACAGAATAAAATGTTAGTAAATGAAAGATAACTAAAAATGAGAATGAATAAGTGCACATAATAATATTTTAGCTCAAGTTCGAGCATCTTATTCGAGTTCAAACCTATAAAAATTAATTAGTGAAACTTGACCCGAGCTTGAACCAAGCTCGAATGAAGCTCGAGCCGAGCTCGACTCGAGATTGAGATCGATTATTTAACTCGTCCAAGCTCGAGCTCGAGTTCGAGCTCGTGAATTCTTATCAAGCTCAAGCTCAAGTGTACCTATACCCGGGCTCGGCTCGTTTACATCCCTAGCCGGAAGAGAACAAATTCCTATATACGTACCTCTTAACCCACTGCCCACCTAAATACCTAATCAATCTGACTATTTCTCCAAGCGACTACATCAAAATCGAAACACTTGGCTATCGCCTAGCGTCAAGGCCCATTTTTATTACAATTATTTTCACTATTTTGTATTTGAGTTACTCAATTCAATTTTGGAATATTTGGGTGTATATAAAACTTTAAATAAGTGTAGTTAAATTTATGTCATATATTTGTATAAATAAAACAAATAGCCTAACTAACTTATTTAAAAGGATAAGAACACATGGTTATGTATGATAACTATAATTACGCAGCCACATAATACTTATGAAAGTGCTATGTAGTTTTTGTTTTTGAAGTGAAAGTGCTACACACTTAAAAAAACAATAATCTAGGTTATTAATTTGTCCGCTCATATTTATTTAAGCTATATAGCCGTTTACCCTTCAATTTTAGACAAATACTACGGAGTAGTCTACGGAGTATAATTTTTACATTTTTTCCATTCTTACTTGGATTAGAATGATTAGAGTATGCATGATGTGTGAATTAGATAACTCTAGCTATTAATTTAAAAAACAAAATACATCTTATAATATTCAGACGTGCATATTATAAATTTATAACCAACTAAAATATATATGGATTTTACCTAGCTAGTTGAGCATTCAACACTCACATGATTAATGAGCATATCACAAATTGATCAAATACATTTTCAAGGAGTGATTAATCAATGAATATGTATGTATATATTTATGTGTCTATGTGTCTATGAATTGAATGTATAAGTTTTTTCATATTCCTCTTTAAATATGATTATAACTTCAATCGTGGTCAGGTTAATTATTAATCTGATAACATCATAAGTTTTAAACAATCTAACATTTTATTGCTGATTTAGAAATATAAGTGTAACAACCTGAGTAAATTATTTGAAAGATAATTTAGCTATGCTCTGTAATGTCCCCATAATAATTTGGCATAAAAAAATGACACCCCTACATAAAGCTTTTGAAGTCCGATCTCGTCTTTTCAAATCTCCTCCAAATCCTTTAGTGTTTGATATGAAACATGGCCTATCTAATTTTGTAATATGGCATATGCAATGGTGAAATTTCTAATAGGCAATTTGACAAAATAGTGAATCTAATTTTATGAAGTTTAAACAAAATCAAAGAATGTTATTTCATAAATGTAACACTGTGTTTGAAATTTCGCAACAAGACTAAATTTAATATTTTTGAATTTGAAGTGCTTCATTTACAAGGGAAAAAAAGATTTTGCAATTTAAAATTAAAGAGTTAATATTTTAACATAAAAATGAATCTCTATTTTTAACTCTTTATTTTTTTTCAATTTCGAAATTTTAATTTATAGTTTTCTTTTGTTTTTTGTTTTTAATCTATTTTTAAAAAGAACCAAGCAGCTAACCAACCCACCAAGTAAGCTGGTTGGAATCTTTTGGTCATTAGTAGTAATAATACCTTTAGTGAAATCAATTAAAATATTCTATTACTTTTAAATTAATGTAAGTGAACACATAATAAATTTAAGTATACATATTATTGATATAACTTTACTTCCACATATATGCAACGTTTAAAATATAAATGAGAAAAACTATCATGTCACAATTGTTTTGTAGAGATATAAAATAAATATAAAATGACACTATTGGTTCAAATAAAAGTAAGTGTGTATATATTTTAATATTAAATATTAAAAAAGAAAGAATTCATATTTAACACCTATAACGAAATTTAAAAATATTTTAAGACTGAAAAAATATTAATTGATATCATTGAATATGTATAACAAAAATGGCATACTAGGTATTGTAGTTGTTTGATTATAGAGAACATTTGTGTTTACTTTTAGTTTGTATAATGATATTTTTATCATTTTAAAACTTATAAAGGTTGACCGGTTTTTTAATCATGACCGGGTTGACTCTCCGGGTCGAGGTTGATCCGTCACTCGGCCATTCGACCTGGTCACTTCCCATTCCGGTTTTTACAACATAGCTTTCACTAGAAGATCGTTGAGAATTATATTATTATATGTAGTAAATATTTCAATGCTTTTGGTAATGAGAATTAGAAAATTCATAAGAAAGATATATTTCACACATATACAAAATTATAAACTAAATGTTTCATATGGGAGTTGCACCCGGGGCAACGCCCAGGTACCAAACTAGTTATAAATTTATAACCAACTACTTAAATAATAATTATAGATTTTAGGATTGTAGGTTCACATAGTCAAATCAAAACTTCCTTCCCCGGTTCTGGTTCTAGAAAGGGTCAACACAAGGATCTTACTTCGAAGCAATCTCTAAAGGGTTACCTTATCCAAACGGGTCTTGCAAGAAAATAGGATTTCATATTGAGCTCCAAATATACGCTATTGGGATGGGATGGCTCCTACTAGCTCCCCCCACCCCCAAGAACCGCACATGCGAGTTTGTTAGTGATTTTAGTGTCACCGGCCGTTTTGTGTAATTGGAAATGACATGAGTGTCAATGGGGATTAGAACTATGATCTAATACAAGTTAGTGGGTGTTGAGTGCACACTTGTATATAAGAACTAGTTTAATTCCAAATTGT